CAAAGGTAGCAAGCAATGTTGCACGAATTATCGTGGCATCAACTTGCTGAGTTGTGTGGGCAATGTGATTGCCCGAATCCTGCTCAATCGCCTCGTGAGTCAGATTGTGGAACCAAACGTGGCGGAAGAGCAATGTGGATTCCGTTCGGGTCGCAGCACTATAGATATGGTGTTTGCGGCTCGTCAGTTGCAAGAGAAGTGCAGAGAACGACACCAGCCTTTGTACTCGCTTTTTGTTGATTTCACCAAGGCATTTGATACGGTGAACCGCGAGGCACTGTGGCTGGTGTTGGGTAAGTTTGGTTGCCCGCGTAAGTTTGTAAGTTTAATTGAATGTCTGCACAGTGGTATGCGAGCGAGGGTGCAGCTGAGTGGAGAGACCTCGGATGACTTTACAGTTGTCACTGGTGTGAAGCAAGGCTGTGTGTTAGCTCCTGCCCTGTTTAATATCTATCTTCATGCAATGTTGTCTTGTGCTTTTGATGTGGCTTGTGCTTACGATGTTCGTTTGGAGCACCGTATTGATGGTGGGTTGCTGAACATCCGTCGTTTCGGTGCGAGAACTCTAGTGTGTGAGACAACTATCCGTATGTTGCTGTTTGCTGACTACTGTGCGTTGTTTTCACACAGCGCGGATGAGTTGCAGCACATGACTAGTGCTCTGGCTTCGACAGCGGCCAAATTCGGGCTCACCATAAACACAAGCAAAACTGTCTGTCTCTTTCAGCATTCACCGGAGGTGCAATCTTCAATATTGCCGCAAATCAGCATTGGTGCTGAAGTATTGGAAACCACCTCCCGCTTCTGCTACCTTGGGAGTGTGATGTCGACTGATCAGCAGCTACACGTTGAGTTGCGTAGTCGCGTGTCGAAGGGGGCAGCGGCATTCGGGAGGCTTGAGTACCGAGTGTGGAACACCCATCAGCTTAGCATTGGCACGAAGCTGATGGTGTACAAATCCATGGTACTGTCCGTTCTTCTATACGGCAGTGAAGCGTGGACGATGTACCGTCGAGATGTGCGATATCTCGAGCGGTTCCATCAGCAGTGTCTGCGACGAATTTTGCGGATCGGTTGGTGCGCCAGAGTCGCAGACACGGAAGTGTTGCGCCGAAGTGGGATGAATGCAGTGGACTGCATACTTTTATTGAGACACCTGAGATGGCTCGGCCATGTGTGGCGTATGGATTCGGCGCGGATACCGAAACAACTTTTATACGGTCAGCTGAGTATTGGGAAGCGGCATGTGGGGAAACCAAAGTTACGTTACCAGGACATGATTAAAGTGAGCCTCACACGTTCTAATCTTGATTGCAGATCATGGGAATCGAAGGCGGTTGATCGTGGTGCATGGCGCGATCTAATCACGAAGGCAGTTGCTGAAGTGCGGGAGACAGCCCTCATGCATGCAGAGAAGAAGCGGCAGTTGCGGAAGCGACAAGCACCGATGAATTGTACTCCATCGACATCGAGCGCATGGTGCTGTAGAACATGCGGTCGCGAGTGCCTTAGTCAGGCAGGCCTAGTGAGTCATGAGAGAGGTCACTCGGGACCACTGCCGAAGCGACGACGGGTCCCGCAGTGAACGTAGGCAGCACCGGCGCAGCGTTTGTAGGCACGCTAAATTCGATTTACTAACCGCATGCTTGCATGCTAAGTCTCTTTATTTCAGGTGGTGAGTTTTCGGTTCTCTCCTAATGCCTTTCTTTCTCATACAAATGTCTAGTGGGCCATGAGCTGTGCCATTTGGGGCCACTACAGAAGCGACGACGGGTCCTGCAGAGAATTACGACGAGCCGGCACAGCGTTTGTAGGCACGCTGAATTCGATTTACTAAGCGCGTGCTTGCATGCTAAGTCTTTTTATTTCAGGTGGTGGGTTTACAGTGTTTACCTTAATGCTTTTCTTTCTCATATAACTATCTCCCTGTACTCTATTCCATTAACCTGCACACATCGCTTCAGCCAATTGTATTCGATTTCCATAACATTTTTGTGTTCGTGGCATTCCGTGAACTATACTTTCTGACCTCGTGCACACAGCTAGGATCCGTTTGTAAACAACTTATTACATATGGTCATTAAATTAAGGTTTATGTCACCGTTTCCTTATGCATTAATCGAGTTTTTCTCTTTTTCTTTTCTCTTTTTCTTTCTCTCTCTCTCTCAAGTGTTTGGCTGTTGTTTGATATCCCCGGTGTGGCTGCGCTTGATGTGCATGTTGACAAGGTGCCTACCTGTCTATTACCCACTACCTCGTCCATACTGGCTCCAGGAGACAGTTGGTCGTTGCTGGAGGGGACGGGGTGCACGGTTCTTGTGGCCGTGCTAGGCTCAAAAAGCGGTTCCATGCACTCAGTGTGGAGCGGACTACGGTCGAGCCACTGCCTTGTGTGCGCTTGATTCCCCAAATACAGTGTGCTTGTGTTTGCCTGTGAAGGAGTGTGGGCCGGCTCCGTTGATGAAACGTGGTTCTCATCCGCATGCCTCCCGGTCTTATTCCTTCGGGTTTACACTGGATATGGGGTATGTGGTTGGAGCTGTGGGTGGTGCAGCGCAAGACATCCATGGTCCCTCTGTAGGCGCAGGCGTCCTGTGGCTGGCCACAGTGACAGGCAAATCCGAAACCGGATGCCGCCAACCAATATATATATATATATATATATATATATATATATATATATATGTATATATATATATATATACCATTATCACTTTAAACTGGACATTTTTCAAATTAAACTGGACATTTCACAAACCAAAGTGGACATTTTGCAAACCAAAGTAGACATTTTGCAAACCACATTGGACATTTTGCAAACCACATTGGACATTTTGCAAACCAAACTGGACATTTTGCAAACCAAAGTGGACATTTTGCAAGACAAATTGGACACGTTGCAATCTAAGTAGCAACTCGCCAATTTTTTGGTAAGAAACGAGCCGTAAGACTGCTGAATGATTTTCATCATATATATTGTGATGACACTAATACACCGGCATGGTGTAAGCAGCGGGCTACACTGTAAAACATTTGCTTGATCGTGAGCAGCGACCGAAGTTCTGAACTACGCTCCCCTCTCCCCATTGACGTTCGCCTAGTTGGTGTGCAGTGCCCATACGCATCAACCTGTGTTGGTGTGTGACAATTGGAAAATCGGACGTCCGAATCGCAATTGTGTACCAATCATTTTGTGAGTGGATTGCGATGCGCAATCTCAGTGTGCACCGTTATTCTCATTAGAGAGAACCTTGTCCGATTCGGTCAATGGGACCATGTCGGATGAAGCGGATAGGCGGTGTCCCAGCTTCGCCCGTCTCTCTATTAGCTTTCGCAACTGCCACGTTTTTGCATCAGCGTAGGCTGTAATGACCCCCATCAAAACCAGTCTAGATCTATAGCCTATTGTTGCAACATATCAACTACTGAGGAGTGGGCCGATTACACGATGTTCAGGCCACATTGTGGTCACGATAATGTAACCGAACTGCGTACGTAGTGGGTGATTGTGTAAGCCCTTCTCTTGACATGAGTGCCGTTCGCCTCGGTCAAAATCGGTGACCTATTTTCCCCTACACCCTCCCCCATAGGAATTCGTGTGTTTTGTCTGGGTGTGTGGACCGACCTATGCAGCGGTACCACAATTGGAGCCGAGCATACGATAATGGTTCCACTCAACCCAATTTAGCTTTCTTAGCTCCGTGCCGCACGAAACGACCTAAATGGGGGACGAACAACAGGAGAGCTGGTGTCCGACGCGACGGCACTGTAGGCGAACATCATTTGCGCAAAGAGAAATTCTCACAAAACTTGTGCTGGTCGACGGCAAAACTACTCGGGATGCCGCTGAAGTCGCCGGTGTTAACGCGAGTACGGCAAGGAACATCATTAATGCCTACAAGCCTGTAAGCAGTTGTTACACCTTTGATGATACTCGCCTATTCTTCGTGAGCACTAACTTCCGACACAGCATCTATCGCAGAGTGATATGGCGCTACTAGCCTCAGACCAGCCATTTACTCAACTCAACCATATCGCGATCATTTACCGCTAGCGAGGTTGTGTTCAGAACTGGCAATGAATTTAAAGCTCAAGTGTGGACTCCGACCATGTAATTGTATGTGCTATTCTCCAGGTGCGTTTCGGATGATCTCTGAAACGACACTCAGCCTATAGACATCTACTAAATGACGAAGCCATGTATTTTAAGTGCGCATCAAAGTTAGCTGTCATCCGTGCTGCATACTCGCTCACTGAACACAGCTGCATCTTCTCAAGGCCTTATTTGCAGCAGGAATATCTTCCTTTGGCATATCTGATCACCAACATGTACATTTTGTATGCACACAGTCCGTGCGACTTCTGGATGTTCGTCGACACTTTCCGGATGTGAACGAACAACGAGACCCGCAAAGTCTTCGGATGCTCATTTTTCATTATTGCTGTACATGCAGTTGAATCTCGACGGTTGTCACGCACTGTGTTACTAATACATGTTATCTGCATGGCCACTGTTCGAAATCTTTAGCTAACTTTTGCTACTGTCTCCATTCACTGATTTCACATTTTGCTATTAGGCAAAATTTGTTCTGTTATTTCGGGTTAAATTTATCACCAATGAGCACTCACTCCACTTCACAATAAATGCTCATCATCTATTTCATTAAGATGCTCGTTTAGCTCTCGGGACACGTATTTGCTTACAATTTCGTTGTCACACCAACAACACTTTATGATTCCCATTTTTTCAGTTCGCGGAGTTTCATTTGTGCGATATAAGAGTTGGGCTGTGGCCTTCGACGCACTTCGCTGATGAGCGGATGCTCACTTGCTTTCAGAGACTCGGCTTGCACACGTTCAAACGGAGTAGACGACGATGCACCGCTGGATCACCGAAGACCAATTGCGCTGATGCTGCATCCCACTCGACTGATATGTTATCATCCGATCGTCCATATATAGACTGCTCTAGCTGGGCAACCGGCAACAATCTTGCAGTCATGCTCAATGTACCTTCAATAATGATCACATTTCAGTCTGGTGCAGATTTGTAAGTTCATCGTGTTGACTGTATTTTAGACCCTCTCCTTGAGTTTGGCTATCCTTTTTTCACCCAGGCATGTCGCATTCATCAAGAGAATCTTTGAGTGTCTCATATTTTCCGACTCAGTTTTATTAGCTTGGGTTTGTTACTTTTGGCCCGCTCACCGATGTACATTAGATCCAGTTACTATGCCACACTTTACCAGAATCATACTACTGATAGTAGTGCAGTGTTGCATGCGAACAACACCTAATGTTTGTTTGCTTCGGATGTGGTCCTGATTGAGATTGCGTGTCACAACCCATTTACATTTGTGCTTCAAGCTAGCTCCTTTAACCAGTCTCACTAATAGTTTAGGAGTAGTGCACAGTTCAAATCTCCAAACGAAATAGTAGAGTCAGAAGTTAGGGCGTAGTTGTAAGCACAACATTGACTTTATGGTGAAGCTATAACCAATAATGACTTACAGGGAACCCCATCCAGGAAGGTGATGGGAGCCAACTGGGGCTAGCCTTTCTGGGAGTTTCACCATCTTCTGTCATTTCACATTCTTTTCACGTCTAAGTTTTGTGTGTCTAATGACGGTATTTATTTGGAGCACATACCGAGGCAGATGGTTTGCTGGGGTGCGCAGAACATTACCGAGGCTCTCCTACAAGGCACTGGAGAGCCTATTATGAGGCACAAGATGACGAGCTCGAGCATCGCTCACTCAGTTCTCTCATACATACACAATAATTCGCAAGCGCCGGTGATCAGACGGCCAGCCATCAGTGCGCAGTTAATTACTCAATGCGATACAGCACTGTAGTGTTATAAGCCCTTTCTCTATTCGACAGGGTTCACGTTTTATCGTCCCCATAAGTAACCTGTATTTTGTGAAACCACACGAGCTTTAGTCATGCATGTGATAACCTCCGGTGATGTGAACATTAAATGTGATATCGTTACTCAGAGAATAGACCATTCGATTACGTCCTTGTTCGGTGATGCTGAAAACGGGAAATGATTAATCCCAGCTAAGCTATTCCAATTAAACATTTAGAGGCGCACAACACGTATCAAAGCGTACGGCGCTGCGCGTCAGATTGTTCAGTAGCACTTAACTCTTGACCACCTCGCTCTCCAGGCTGCAATCCACATGACACCTTTTCTGCTTGACTTGGGACTTTGCCGGACATGGCTGGAAGCTTGCACTAGTGACGCGTCTACTGTCGTCTTCTAGTTAGACTGCAGGTTTAAAGTGTGTTGGGTGCCGGGTTATCTCTGGGGTAATAGCTGATTATGAATCGGGGCCGTGAAAGCCGCAAGGAAGCTGTCTTATTGATGCCACCTTGTCCTAGCACGATAGCCAGCCGTTTGTGACGATATATTGCTGACTAGGTGTAGGCACCTTGACCTTGAATCTTTACTTAGGGCGTTATGGTTTTACGCCAGGTCTCTCTTCTGCCACTCGTTCCACAGGTCATTGTAGTTGTATGACTAAGGCACCAGTTCAAATACTTGATATACTGCTATAGAAAACTTACGAATAGGTTTGCAATCTCAATGAAAAGAATAAACACAGAAAGATGTGCGGCAGCGTGCAGGAACGTCACTGCGTAGCAGTCTGTCATAGGTGAAATTGTTGTGGTCTACTTACCGCGCGCGATTCCGGTTATTGCAGTCAGATTATTCGCGGAAGCTGCCAATCCAACTGTAAAATTCGAAGTCAGAGACCTCGATTAAAAGTGCCTGTTCGCTGATACACTGCCAAAACACATTCTGTTCATCCTGAATCCTAAACATATTTTATTAGTCCAGAAGCGAGGCGGTGTGGTTAACTCAACGCCCACCAAATTTGAGTTTCGCTCACACGCAGCTTAGTAGATAACCTCCACTAATTTCAATCTGGTCAATCGATCTTACCTGCAGTGGGAAGTCAGTTCCACCGGAAAGTTGTTGATCCGCCTTAATACAAATATCTGACCAATGGAGTGAAGTAGAATCGTTGCATTTTTAGTATTGCAGATGTTCCAAACGCAGGTGTAAAATTCTGTATGGGCGTTTAGAAAACGTTTGGGAATATGGATCCCATTTTCCTAAATAGACGATCCACTTTGGCAAGCGCTAAGACTGGTAAACCGGGGATGAGTCTGGTAGCGACGTGCTGATTACGTTCAAGTTTTTGAACCTAACTACGTGTGATCGGACCATAGGCGGGTAAACCGTATTCTTGCATTGGCATTATAATAGCAAAAAGAGGCGAGCGATTGCCTTTTCAGACCGAGTGTATAGACTGCATTTGGGCGCCCAACGCTTGCATAGTACGTTTCCATATAGCTTGTTCGTATTGTTTATCCACTTTAAATCGCAGCATGAGAGTACGGAAAATGTGGGATATAGCTGTTGTTCGGAAAAAGTTTACATACACCCATAACCACCCTACCCCGTTCTCATAAATAGCAACTTGATTAGGTTGGCCGGCAGATCGACATCTGCAGACCACACGGAGCTCATGCTTAAGCATGTCGTAGTCGTCGGGAGTATCAGTTACTCTCCAAGTCTTCAAGTCCTTTGTAAGCAATGCACACGGTGACAGAAGAAGCTGATGTGGATCAGGAACAAAATGGGCCCCAGTACTGTGCCCCTAGCTGCCCCATCACTGGAAGGATACTAGTCAGCTAGACGAACCGCCTTTCCCTCGTGCACTTCCATCAAATAAGGAAGTCGCAAATTCCTTGTCGCATTGAGCCACCAACCTCATGCATCCTCAGAGTTCACCTTGTGTAACTACCAAAATCAATGTAGACCACGTTTACGCACCTCCTTCGCTTTAGCGCTTGCAGGTATTCGTACCGTGTCACCAGAAATTTGGCAATGCACAAGCGGTCTTTCAAGAAATCGTGTTGTGCCGGAAGTCGTGCAGGGCTAATGGGTGTCTGTTTGTCAGCCTTGCCTACGTCTCAGCAAACTGTAGCGATGACTCGGCTAAAGCCCATTTCTAACGCCAACTGAACGAGCCTCTTCGTCACAGAAGAAGCATGTACGCCGTAGGGCTGTCTGGGATTCTGAACACTCTAGTTAGAAAATACTGCACTAGTGAGCTGCATCTGGGTGCCCAACATGGTGGATGTTCTCGTAATGATAACGCTGAGCGATTCCTTCATTTGTGTGAAGATGCTCACTTATTTCTTGAGAGCACTAACTTCCGAAACAGCACCCGCTGGAGGGTGACATGGTGCCCACCAGTCTTGGACACAAATTGATCACATTGCGATCACTTACCGTTGGAGGGGCTGCGTCGGTAACTGTCGCTCGATTCGGAGTGCATATGTGGACATTGACCATGTATCTGTATGTGCTGATCGGCAGTTGCGTTTCGGTGGACGCCCGCATAGAGGCTGTGAGCGCATAGACACCAGCCAACTGGCGGAGCCAGATGTTCTGAATGCGTATCGAAGTTCGCTAGCATCCGGGCTGATTAAGCGCTAACTGAACACAGTTGGAGGTCACTGGTCGCATATTCACCAGACGGTACTATCAGCAGGCATGTCTTCATGTGGCAAACCAAATTGTCAATCTGGACATTGGGTTTCTACACAGTCTCTGGAACCTTTGTATGCTCGCCGACGTATTCCGGCTGGATGCTAACACAATGAGACTCGCAAAGACCTCAGGGCAAAACTGCGTGCTAGACTGAAGATAGGCCGCGAATTCTGTTCTCCTCGTGCATCGGAGATGGAAGTGGCCACTGCCGATGGGAAGCGGGAAACGGGCAGCAAGAGACCTGCTATTAGTGGACAGCCCATCTACAATTTGTCAAAACGCTTTGAGCGTTGGACCGAGCACTTTGAAAGTCAATTTAATCGGCCGGAGTTGTTGGATTTCTCATCAGCCAGTGATCATCCTGCTCCTTGGACTGTACCTTCGGATGCGCGCTCTCGCTCAGAAGTCGAACGGGGGATCGAACTGCTGAAGTTGCATAAGGCCGCGGGACCAGATGATCTTCATCCAGTTCTCTTCAGATTCGGGGGCACTGTTCTCGTTGATGATTTACATGAGTTACTACTGAAAATGTGGGAGTAGGAATCTGTCCCAACCGATTGGGGTCGCTACGTTATAGTCCTAATTTTCAAAGGAGGCTCATGTTAGAAATGCGGCAACCATAGTGGAATCAGTCTGATCACAATTGCCTCGAAATTGCTTGCCTCTGTCACCCTTCAGACTGACAAGAACTCGTGAAAGCCAGTTTTGTGAGGAGGAAACCGGTTTTCGATATCAGAGTGGACTCCGACCAAATAAAGTATAGTAAGTAGAAATGATCGATCAAGACCCCCAAACGCATTTGAATAGTTAAGAAAAAGAAGTCGTGCGGACCTGCACTTCCTATCTAGGGCAGAGGCTATTTGATGCACAAGGTACGTGACAGCATCAAGCGTCTAGCGCTGGTGTCTAAAAGCAAACTGGTAGACATCATCAGCAAGAGTGGCTGTGGAAATCCGTGGAACTAGCAGATTTTCGAGGTTTTAAGGGCCCGGAAGCACAAGCAATTGGCCGATACTTGTAAGATTCCATCTTAAGAATTGGCGTCATTCTAGGGTAATGAAAGGGAATCAACGCACTGCTTCAAAACCACGGGTAATAAACCATCTGGGCCACTAGCTTTATTTGTATTTAGCTTCTTGAGTTCCCTGGTGACGTCAAGCTGATCAAAAAAGCGGCTGGAATGGGAAGATACGCGAATCCGTTCTTTCGTCGCTCGGCACTCACTTTAGTCCTTTCGCGTAACACATTGCTAATAAAGCTATGCTGGGTTTGGTGGAGTCATGATAGCCTACACTGCTTTAGTAGTCGTGCAGCTGCATAGGTTCGTCCGCACACCCACAGAAAATACGCGAGGGCCCACAGTGTGACAGGGCACAACTGAGTCACCACCTGTCTGCTTCATCAGTAACAGTCCCAGCGATCGAATTGGCCAAGATTTACTTCAATGGGAATCCCGCATCGCAATCCATTCACAAAAC